CAGGCTCGTCGAGTGTCCGCCTCGTTGTGTGTCTACCTGACGCCTGGCTCGTCGAGTCGAGCCTCCGCCTCGTTGTGTGTCTACTTGAAGCCAGGCTCGTCGAGAACAGTCGTAGGATTGAGCGTCTATCTCATGCCTGGGCTCGTCGAGCGTCCGGTAAAGTTGAGCGTCTACCTGATGCCGGGGCTGTCGGGAACAAACGTATAGTTTTACGTCTACCTGATGCCAGGCTCGTCGAGCATCGGTAAATTGAGCGTCTATCTGAAGCCAGGCTCGTTGAGCATCCGTATATTTGAGCGTCTACCTTATGCCTGGGCTCGTCGAGCGTCCGGTAAAGTTGAGCGTCTACCTGATGCCGGGGCTGTCGGGAACAAACGTATAGTTGAGCGTCTACCATAAGCCTGGGCTGGTCGAGCGGTCGGTAAATTGAGCGTCTACCTTATGCCTGGGCTGTTGAGCGGCGGCCTTCGGCCGCCGCCTGGCTCGGTTCGCGTCCGGTAAAGTTGAGCGTCTATCCTTATGCCTGGGCTGTCGAGAACAAGCGTATAGTTTTACGTCTACCTTATGCCTGGGCTGTCGAGCGTCGGTAAATTGAGCGTCTACCTTATGCCTGGGCTGTTGAGCGGCGGCCTTCGGCCGCCGCCTGGCTCGGTTCGCGTCCGGTAAAGTTGAGCGTCTATCCTTATGCCTGGGCTGTCGAGAACAAGCGTATAGTTTTACGTCTACCTTATGCATGGGCTGGTCGAGCGGTCGGTAAATTGAGCGTCTACCTTATGCCTGGGCTGTCGAGCGGCGGCCTTCGGCCGCCGCCTGGCTCGGTTCGCGTCCGGTAAAGTTGAGCGTCTATCCTTATGCCTGGGCTGTCGAGAACAAGCGTATAGTTTTACGTCTACCTTATGCCTGGGCTGTCGAGCGTCGGTAAATTGAGCGTCTATCTGAAGCCAGGCTCGTTGAGCATCCGTATATTTGAGCGTCTACCTTACGCCTGGGCTGTCAAAAACGATCTCCTTTATGACACAAACCCCCTTGTTCCTCAACAAGCCCCGGCCACAGGTAATCGTGGCGCAAGCCGAACGTAGTTCTTTGAACGTATTCGCCCTCCCCCGGACGTATGCTCCAGTCCGAACGTATGCTCGTCGTAGGCGTTGTTCCTCAACAGCCCCGGCCTAAGATAGAGCCGCCACTTCACGATGATCCTCAACAGCCCCGGCCTAAGATAGAGCCGCCGCCCCCACATTGTTCCTCAACGAGCCCGGCCTAAGATAGAGCCGCCGCCCAAACGATAATCCTCAACGAGCCTGGCCTAAGATAGACGACCCACCTCGACGGACAGTCGCAAAGCTACCGCCCCCACGACAATTCCCAATCCCCCCCCTGCCTAAGATAGAGCCGCAACACCCCGAAGTACGCCCGTCTCGAGCATACGTCTAGAGGGCCAAGCCCCGCAGGGGCATGCTCCCGGCAGGGTCGGGGAGGGGGTCCGGGGGAGGGGCGAAGCGCCCTCCCCCGGCAACAGGCACGGACCGTCGCGAAGCCCCCACCTCGACGGACAGTCGCAAAGCTACCGCCCCCACGACAATTCCCAATCCCCCCCGGCCTAAGATAGAGCCGCCGCCCCCACGATGCTCCTCAACGAGCCTGGCCTAAGATAGACGACCCCCTTCGACGGACAGTGACAAAGCTACCGCCAGGCGCCGCCTGACAAACGCTCCCACCTTCACGGACAGTGACAAAGCTACCGCCAGACGACGCCTGATAGAGACACCACCTTCACGGACATTGAGAAATCCCCGCTTCCCCCGCGCCGCGACCTCCCCAAAAACGAACGTCGGTATTATACCACCGCCTCGCCGCCGCCTGACAAATGCACCCACTCCTCCTCCCCATCGTCGAGGCGGCCTTGGTCGGCGGCGGCGCCGTCGCGGAGCCTGCGGCGGTCGTCGGGTCGCTCGTCGTCGGCGGCGCGGCGAAGGACCGCGACATCGTCAGCTCCGCCGCTTCGGCGACGGGCAGCGCGCCACCGCGCCGTTCCACACCCGCTCCACGGGGTCGCCCGGCGACCGTTCGATCCACAACTAACCCATGCGCCGCGTCTAGCCAGCATAACTCGAGCCTACCTCAGCAACCCCACACCTTGACCGTCTTGTCCCACGACCCGGAGACGACGCGCAGGCCGTCGGGGAAGACGGCGACGCTCCGGACCTAAAAGACAGGAAGATCACACACACACAAGAAAAACAGCAGAGAAGACGCCGCGCCACACCCAATTCGAATGCCCGGCCAGCGTCGCGACGCACTCGCCCGTGGCCGCGTCCCAGACCTTGACCGTGTTGTCCTTCGACCCGGAGACGACGCGCCGGCCGTCGGGGAAGACGGCGACGCTCAAGACCTAAAGCCAGGAAGATCACACGCGAAAGAACAAGGACGCCGCGCCACACGGAAACCGAATGCCCGGCCAGCGTCGCGACGCACTCGCCCGTGGCCGCGTCCCACACCTTGACCGTCTCGTCGTCCGACCCGGAGACGACGCGCCGGCCGTCGGGGAAGACGGCGACGCCGTAGACCTAAAAGCCAGGGGAGATCACACACAAAAGAACGAGGACGCCGCGCCACACCTCACTCGAATGCCCTTCCAGCGTCGCGACGCACTCGCCCGTGGCCGCGTCCCACACCTTGACCGTCCCGTCGCCCGACCCGGAGACGACGCGCCGGCCGTCGGGGAAGACGGCGACGCTCGAGACCTAAAAGACAAAAAATAACACACACACAAGAAAAACAGCAGAGAAGACGCCGCGCCACACCCAACCCGAATGCCCGGCCAGCGTCGCGACGCACTCGCCCGTGGCCGCGTCCCAGACCTTGACCGTCTTGTCCTTCGACCCGGAGACGACGCGCCGGCCGTCGGGGAAGACGGCGACGCTCATGACCTAAAAGACGGAAATATCGCACAAGAAAAACAGCAGAGAAGACGCCGCGCCACACGGTCCCCGAATGCCCGGCCAGCGTCGCGACGCACTCGCCCGTGGCCGCGTCCCACACCTTGACCGTCCCGTCGCCCGACCCGGAGACGACGCGCCGGCCGTCGGGGAAGACGGCGACGCTCGAGACCTAAAAGACAAAAAATAACACACACACAAGAAAAACAGCAGAGAAGACGCCGCGCCACACCCAACCCGAATGCCCGGCCAGCGTCGCGACGCACTCGCCCGTGGCCGCGTCCCAGACCTTGACCGTCTTGTCGTGCGACCCGGAGACGACGCGCCGGCCGTCGGGGAAGACGGCGACGCCATAGACCTAAAAGCCAGGAAAATCACACAGGAAAACAGCAGAGAAGACGCCGCACCACACTGTATACGAATGCCCGGTCAGCGTCGCGAGCTCGGCCAACTTCGAGAGGTCCACGACCATCGAAAACGGCATGAATCGCAGCTCCGCGCTGTTATCCACGGACACGCAGCTGCTCGTGTCCCAGATCGACTGGCTCACCTTTGGCACCGCCGCCGCGGGGCTCTCCCGCTCGACCGTCTCCGCGACGTCCCCACCGCCGTCGCCGACCGCCAGTCGCTCCGCCGCGCTCGAGTCCTCTTCTCGCTCCAAGACCGCACCCTCGCCGCCGGCGTCGGGCACCTCGCGAACGCCGTCGCCGCCGGCGTCGAGCACCTCGCGAGCGCCGTCGCCGACCTCGTCCGCCGCGCACGACGCGACGACATCGTCCGCCGCCGTCTCGGCGCGGTCGCGCTTCGCGCGCTCTTCGTCGAAGGCCCCACCCAGCTCCAGCCGCCCGAGGAACTCGAGCCAGCCGCCGGGCACGCGGTGGTTCACCACCGCGACGGCCAGCTGCGCGCGCGTCATCGCCCGGTACAGCCGCGACCGCGTCTCGAGGGCCGTCGCGTCGTCGACGGAGATGGCGTGGTCCAGCCCGGCGCAGACGACGACGAGCCGCTCGAGGCCGTCGATGTTGTCGACCGTGTCGACGACGAGCCACCCCGCCGACCCCTCGCGCTCGTCGCGGTCGCGCGGCAGCGTCGCGCTCGCCGTCGCCGCGTCGACGATTTGAAAGCTCCGCCCGAGCCGCTTGGCGAGCGCCGCACGAAGTTCCTCGCAAAAGTCGGCGTCGGGGCAGACGACGGCGACGCGGTCGTCGAGGTCCATGCCGTGGAGCTGGCGTCGGATCGAGTCGATCGCCGCGTCCACCTCCCGCGCGTAGCGCTGGATGCGGTGGCCGTCGAAGAGCCGCGCCTCGAGCGGCGGGCCCACGGACGCCGAATGGCCCCGCGTCGCCGCCTTTCTCCCGGCCTCGAGCTGGAAGGCCGCGGCGCCCGCGACGATGCGCTTCGTCGAGCGGACCACCTCCTCGAGCGCGACCGTCGCGACCTCGGCCGACTCGGGCACGTCCGCGATCGATCGCACCAGCCCGGACCCGTCCATGGCCGACGTCGCCTGGGACGCGTCGCCGAGGAAGAGGTAGCGGTCGGCGGCGACGCCGCGGACCGCCTCGCGCGCGCCGACGTCGCCGGCGAGGTGGTGCGCCTCGTCCACGACCGCGAGGCCGTAGCGCTCCGCCTCCTCGACGCGACCGCCGATGGCCAGGCGCTGCCGCCCGTCCGCCTCTTCGACGCGGATCTCGAGCGGGCCGCGCTCAAAGGGCGCGACGAGCACGCGGACGCGGTCGGCGACGCGCTGCGCCGACGTCCGGGACGCGACGACGAGCCACTTGACCACGAAGAGCGCCAGCGCGCTGTTCTTCGAGGCAAAGAGCACCATCTGGTTCGCGTGGAGGACCTCGAGCGCGCGCTGGATCGCCACGAACGTCTTGCCGCCGCCCGCGGGCGCCAGGAGCAGCGCGTACCGGGCCGCGCGCACGTCGCCGAGCTTCTCGCGCTGGTGCCGCGTGAGCTTGGTGAAGCGCATCATGCTGCCCGCGTAGCACTCGAGGAAGGCGCCGCGGTCGCAGCGGAGCGGCACGACGTCCCCGGTGACGAGCGGTCGCTCGAACTGGGCCTCGTTCGTAGCCACGTGGAAGTAAAACAATCGACCGTCGCCGGACGTGCGCGCCTCGTAGCCGAGCCCAGGCAACTCCTCATCCGTCGCAGGGTGGCGCCAACGCGGCAACGCCCCGTTCAGCTTCTCCTCGAAACCGCTCCCCAGAAGGATCTCGTCGCGCAGCGTCGCCATGGCCGCGACGTCGTCGATGCCGAGGCGCACGCGCGCGCGGCCCCGCCAGAGGTAGACGTTGGCGACGCAGCACCCGGGCGGCAGGGTCTTTGCCAGCGCCGCCTCCAAAAGCGCGACGGAGCCGCAGGCGTCCATGACGCTCCCCCCGTCCGCGCGCGACAGCGTCAGCATCTGCTCGCTCTCGAGGTCCGGGCCGTCGAGGGCCCGCGCGAGCGCGTCGTCGTCGCCGCTCGCCGCGAGGACCCGATGGACTTCGTACACCTGATGCGCGCCCGAGTCCTTGATCTCCTTGATGCTCTGGAACGTGAGCTGCAGCTCGCCGACGAAGCCGTCCACGTCCACGTTGAGCTTGACGTCGCGGTAGCCCGACGTCCCGCCCCGCAGATTGTCCTTGCACCGTAGAATTCTCAGCTCCTCGCCGCGCGCCGCGGCGCGTAGCTTCGAGATGGCCGCGTTGAAGTCGTTCGCCGTGCCGTAGACGCCGGTCGCGCGCTCGACGTCGACGACTCGCGCGACGTCGCCGCCGTAGTCGGCCTCGGCCTTTTCCTTGATGCGCAGCGTGCCCTTGCGCGGGCCCTGGAAGTAGGCGCCGCCGGACTCCTTGACGGGCTGCTCGAGCGCCGCGTGCATCGCCTCGGCGCGCTCGCTGGCCAGCGTGACGAGCGCCTCGACGGTCGCTCCCTGTGGGAGCGCGCACCGCGGCGGCTTCTCGCCCGGGAATTCCGCCTGGAGCGCAGCGGTCTCCCGGAGCAGGTCATCCGCGGCCTCAGCGCAGGCGGCCCACGCCGCATCGTAGAACGCTTTGACGTCCTGCTCCGCGCGGGAGATCACGTCCGTGAGTCCATCTCGATCGCAGTGCTTGACGTCGCGGCTGCCTCGCGGCGTGCGCGGCACGGCCCGCTCCACGTTGCTGCAGATGATCTGCACCTGGTCGACGCTCGCGCTGGCGCCCATGGTGTTATGGAGCAGCCTGCCCGCCATTCCCGGAATGACCTTGAACATTCAATGATCATCGTGAAGCACTCCTGACGTGTGTCACCGCCTCAACAACAACCGCAGTCTCGATCTCGGCCACCTAACGACCACACTTACTGCGCTTCTTGACTCCCGCGCTCGAGGAGGTCGCGCTTCCTCGCTGTATCCTTAGACCTCTAGCATACTGCTGCGTTAGCTTACCTCGTTGCCTGGATTCTCAACACCCCGCCTCATCGACACACATCGACATCGAGAGCATCAAACCCGAGACCAAAAGCAGGCGAATCGGCCTTCAAACAGAAATCATCATGAGCAGCATCCACGAAGAGAGGGTCGCCAATGACAGATGCCCGGTCGTAGGTCAAAGTCCACGATGACCAGTTCCCGAGGGCAGTCAAATTGCCATTGCCGAAGAAGGATCGGTCATCAAAGGCCCAATACACGTTGGAGTCAGCAAAAGCCAACCCACTCCGCTTCCATTGAGCCTTGTTCCACAGTCTCCCTTGCGGCACGGCCGACGAAAAAGCCACTACGTTCCGCTGAAAAACGTTCGCCCGCGTAAAGTTGCCCAAGGCCTGCACCATCAAGACCCCGGTCGTAGTGTTCGAGTTCGTGGCGCCGTAGAAGACGTTGTTCTCGACAGTGTTGCCAAAGCCATTGTGAAAGAAGACGCTCGCTGCCTCCGTCCGCGCGACGACGTTCCCTCGAACCGCGTAGCCGGACGCCTCATTGTCGAGATAGATTCCAAAGCTCATAAAGGGCGAAGTCAGTTTCGGGCCCCCATCAATCCAGGAAGACCAGGCGCCAATGACATCCACCACGCGATTGTTCAGGATCACCGAGTCGTCTGGAGACGCGCCCGGATAGGCAATCAACGAAATTCCGCCGAAGTCCTTCGTCGTCAATCCCAAGTACCGCAGTCGGTTCCCGACCACAGTGTTGTTCGTAGACCGTGCCCCTTCAGCAGCGTTCGACCGAATAGCGATGCCCCATCTGCTGGAATTATCGATGCGATTGCCGGAGATGACCGCGTGCGCACAGCACGAGCAAAAGACGCCGCCAGCAGAAGCGAAAACTTCCCCGACGCCAGTCATCGAGTTGTTGGTGATGGCAGCTCCTGTCGTCCTGGTCGTGCCGTTGCCCACCAACGCAACACCAGATTGACCGAGATGCGCGAACGTCGAATTCGAGACAGAGAGTTCCGTCGTCGACGTTGCCGTGACGCCACCGCCGCCCAGCTCAGAGAAGACGCAGTTCTCGATTTTGACGCCACTGCTTCCAGACACGTGAAGAGCCGCATCGGTAGGAATGCCGATGGACTCCGCGTCGACGGAGAACCCGTTCTGGAATCCGAGGTATCGCGCATCCGTGTCGCTGAACGTCACGCTCTCGATCACAACCTCCTTCGAGGACTCCACGGCGATCACAGTCGTCGCACGCGGCACGACGACTTGCCGCGGCGCGCCCATCGACGAGTACAAGTAGAGCACGTCTCCGTCGCGCGCCCACTCGTCGCCGTCCGTCAAAAACGCACGAGAACCGTACGCGTAAAGTCTAGCGCCCGGAGCAAGTTTGCCGTCGTAGCCGGTACAGTTCTTGTCCGCCTCGGCCGGGCAGGAGAGCTCGAACCACGTGCTCGTCGTCGTCGAGACGCCGTGCAGCTCCAACCAGTCGAGCGTGGCGTTCGAAGCCAACTGAAGCGTCGCCTCGAAGTTGTTCCAGCCCGAGTGCGGCCAGACCATGGCGCTGCTACGAAATGAATCATGAACAGGCTCCGCCGTCGAAGTCGCGAGCGTCAACGCCCAGAGGTCGTCGCGCACGAACGACGTCTGGTTCGCGTAAAAGTACTGCTCGGGCGCGGCGGGGTCGTCGCGCGCGTCCGGCGTGCGCGCTCGGCTGGCCCGCTTGCCGCCGACCATCAACGTGCGGAACGACACATGAGCCTCGGGAAGAGCGCACGACCAGACGTTCGCGGCTTGCTCGATCCAGCAGTCGTCGTCGAGTCTCGAGCCGGCGGAGACGACGGCTTCGTGGCCCCCGCGCAGCGTCACGTCTTCCAGCCCGCCGAGCGCGAGCGGCGGCTGCTGGAGGTAGTGCGTCCCGTTGATCTCGACGACGACCGACGAAGACGACCGCGTGCGACGCAGCTCGTCAATCGCCGCCTCGATCGACGCGAATTCCACGGCCGTGGACCCGCTCCGCACGACGACGCGCGGCGCCGTGCCGCTCGACGCGATGCGAAACAGCACGACGGCGACGACGGCACGAAGCGTCGCCCCGCGGCGGCCGCATCGCACGCAGCCCATGCCGTACGAACACTGCACGCTCTCGCTTGAACCAAAATTGAACATTTGAGGGCTGCTAGCACGATGTTCGTGACCGTCACGCGTAAAACCACCAACACGATCAACCTCGTCGCGCTCCTCGCCTCCTCCGCCAACGCATTCCACGACTGCGTCGAAGCCGCCGCGTCGAAGCGCGCGCGCTTCGCGACCGCGGACGCCTGCTCCGGCGGCCTCTGCCTCGGCATGCACGACGGCCCGCACGAAGGCGGGCCAGCTTCGTACCCCGTGGCCTGGGGCGCCGACGGGTTCGGCACGAGCCTGAACTCGACGATGACGGTCCGGCACCGCGAGCGAGAACTTTCGGCGCGCGCGGTACAGTTCTCGCGCAGGTGCCCGCGTACCCGGCCGCCATCGACGGCATCACGTACTACATGTGGACCGACGTGTTCTTCGGCGACGCGGGCGACGGCCGGATGAACCAGTTCGTGCCGCGCGTTCGACGGCGTCCCCGCGCGCGCGTCGCGCGCCGCGGACGCGCGCCGCGCGCAGGCAGCTCTTGCTCGGGTCCGTCCTCGACTCGTCGTCGGGCGCGCCGGAGTACTCGCCCCACTGGCACTCCCACGCGACCTACGTCTTCGCCGCGCACTACTTCTTCGAGCTCTTCAACGAGACGACCAACGAGACGGACGCGCACGCGGCCTACGGCGACCTCTTCCCCGCGGAGCCGGGCGAGACGCTGTGGACGTCCTTCGCGCTGTCGCCCGGCGGCGACGGCGAAGATCTCAAATCGCCCCGGTGGACGCTCCAGATGGGATCGTCGGCGACGCCGCGCGGACGTCGACGCTCTCGATCGACCGGCCCTACATGGGCCTGCGACTGCACCAGACCGAGTCCTGGGCCGAGCCGGCCTACAAGAACATGTGCCTGAACGCCTGCTGGGAGCTCTACGGCGCCGACGACGCCGCGCACCTGCCCTCGAGCGGCGCGAACTACGAGCTCTCCGTGACGAAGCCGCGGCCCGACGCGTTCGACTTCGCGCCGCGCTGGGACCAGGACGAGGGCAAGGGCGTCTGCCCGCGGACCGTCGCCATCGAGGAGAGCCACGACGAGGCGACGCAGTCCGTCTCGTGGAACATCTCCGTCGATCCCTCGCCTCCACGGTCCGCCTCCTGGAACGATCCGCTGCACTCGCAGTCCGCCGATCCGCTGTGGGACGCGTGGCGTCGGACGCGAAGCCGCGTCTACGCGTCGCCGCGCGAGGCCGCCGCGCGCCGCCGCGTCTTCTTCGACAACGTCGCCCGCTACGAGCTCCGCGGCGGCGCCTACGAGCTCGACGAGTACGCCGACTGGACGGCCGAAGAGTTCCGCGCCACGCGGTCGTGTGCCGCGATTACGTCCAGCGCTGCATTTTGCCCCGACGCGGCTCCGTCAAACTCGACGGGCTCCGTCGACTTCCGCGGCTCCCAGGTGACGCCGGTCAAGGACCAGGGGGCCTTTGGCACGTGCTGGAGCTTCGGCTTCGCGGAAACGCTCGAAGGCCTCGGCGTCCGCCTCGGCCACGAGCTGACGAACGTCTCGAACCAGATGGTCATCGACTGCTGCCCGGCCTGCCGCGGCTCGGGCCAGGACGCGTCCTACGACTGGGTCGTCTCGCAGAACCAGGGCCGCATCGCCACGATGGACTCGTACCCCTACGCCGGCGATCCAGGCCAGTGCAAACACCCCGCTCCTTCCGTCCCGTTCGTCGTATCGGGATGCGTGCGCTCGCGCGACGACGCCGACGAGTCCGGGGCGCCGCTGCTCGCCGCGTTGATCGACCACGGGCCCGCGGCCTTTGGCATCGACGCGACCTGCCTCCAGGGCTACAAGTCCGGCGTCATCACGAATTGCACGACGACGGGCATCGACCACGAGGTCCTCCTCGTCGGCGCGGGCGTCGAGGCCGGCGTGCCCTACTTCCTCGCCAAGAACTCCTGGGGCGCCAAGTGGGGCGAAGACGGCTACTTTCGCTTCCAGCAGGCCGGTCGCCAACTCGGATTCGGCTCCGCGGTGCACGCAGTTTAAGACACCCCCAAGGTTGATCGAGCGAGCTCGACTGCAACCCACCGGCGCGGACAGCTCGGTGCCGCACGATCGCTTGTGGCAGCCGATGCTCATAGCTCATCGATGGATTCCCAAGCTCTTCGCTCCACGCCACAATCGGTCTACGCGGTTGTAACGGAGTCGTGCAACGGGCGGCCCGTCCAGGCGGCGCTCAAGACCTGGAAAAACATCACGGTCCTCGCGCTCCTGTGCCTGTCGCTCCTCGCCATCGCGCGCGCCGGCGCGCGGCACGCGCGCGCGCGCACCATTGACCCGTTCAGCAGGTCGCGGGCTTCAACTGCGAGAGCATCGTTCGCACCTACGAGCTCACCGAGGGCGTCTGCCCGACCCGCGCGCGCGCCGCGTCCCAAAAAAAGCACTCGGTTTCCTCAAAAAAGCTCTCGCTCCGTCGTAGTGCTCGCGAACTTCGACCCGTTTTACCTCAAGTGCGTCGGCGCGCTCTACTGCTTCGGCTTCTGCTGCTGCCCCTGCTGCAAGCTCGACTGCGACACGGCGGAGATCGAGAAGCGGTCGTGCTTCCTCCAGGCGATGCAGCGACGACGGCGCGAGCGCGCGCGAAAGGCGCGCGCGGCCATGGCCGCGAGGAGCGGCGCTTCCGGCGAGCCCGACGGTCTCGAGGGCCTCGAGCTCCTCGGGCGGCGCGACCTCGAGGAGGAGCCGTGAGCGCGCGTGAGACGTCGCGCCGCCCGCCGGGGTAAAATCGAGCGAATGTCCTCCGTGCTTCATGATCGACATTGTGCAGCGTTTTGGCGGCGCGCTGCGATGGGATGGCCGTCTTGAGGGCCCGCCGC